GCCTCTCTCTCTCTCTCTCTCTCTCTCTCTCTCTCTCTCATGAATGAATAAATAAAATCTTTAAAAAATAAAAAAGTATATTGGGAAACCATATTGTAGGTCAATAAGTGAAAAACCAAATACGCTGAAAACAATTCCCACTGTAAAACACCAGATATTTTGAAAATTTTTATTAATAGAAAAATAAAAACCTTTCTTTTTAAGCATGATGAACCTTGTAAGAATATAAGAATAATCCTTCTAAGGTCTAAAAACTAAGAAGAAACAAAAAAACCAGAGTGGGAGAAGTGTGAACTGACGCAAGGACTTTTCTGGGACAGTTACCAATCTTGTTAATAACTAAGAGGCATGGTTTTATCATCTAATGATAGATGAAGTCTTAAACCCAAGCAGGTAAGTGGAATCGAGATGCAATAAAGTTGTTCCTTAAAGAGACCTATACCTTTTTTTTTCCTCAAAGATTTTGTTTGTTTATTCATGAGAGACACAGAGAGAGAGAGAGAGAGAGAGAGAGAGAGAGAGACAGGCAGAGGGAGAAGCAGGCTCCATACAGGGAGCCTTTTTTTTTTTTCCTCAAAGATTTTGTTTATTTATTCATGAGAGACACAGAGAGAGAGAGAAAGAGAGAGAGAGAGAGACAGAGAGACAGAGAGACAGAGAGAGACAGAGACAGGCAGAGGGAGAAGCAGGCTCCATACAGGGAGCCCGGAGACCTATACCTTTAATGAAAATACAGGCTAAAGAGAAATTCTGTTTCTAAGACAAGAAGAGACAAGCTTCTTCAGGTCAGGTGAAAGAAAAGTTGACCCTGGAAGTTTATAAACAAGGACCTGTATTCACACAGATGATTATGGTTTTGAACTGATCGCATACAGTTTGATTTTAAACTGATTGCATGGAATTGGAACTGATTGCATGGAGTTAATGACCAAGGCTAGTAATATTCCTAGGGCACTAGGCCTAAACAAACTCCAGGCCATCTACAGGAATATACCTGTAACTGAAGATATTCCAACAGACAAATCAAAGTTTAAGATAACCATTTTATTCAGTATTATAAATCACATGAAGAAACAAACCACCACAGGTAAAACAAAGCAATAGGTAAAATTAGAGCCCCAGTAACTCAGAGAAGAGTGGTATTGAATTGAGCCTTTAAAGTAAGTTATTTAAAAATATAAAATAGTTAAATATAAAAGAGTTAAAGGGCTAATAATGTCAAGTTAGTGTTGGAGAAGGGATAGTGTATGACTGACTTAATATAGATTCAAAAAGAGATTCAAGAAATGAAAGTGCATTGTAATTAAAAACTAAATAACAAGTGCTCCTTTCCTCAGTCATCCGGTTTTAGATATTTTGACTTCGTCCTTTCACGGTCTGTTCTCTCCAGAGCAGGAACATTTTTGGAGAATAACCCAGGATACAATAGCTCTGCTGCTATGGATCTGAGTCTCGGTTGACAGGGTATATGACTTATGGTTGATTGCAGCCTCTAGTTGAGATTGGGAGTAGAAGTGACTATGGGCTATAAAAGGGGGCTTTTATGGAACTTTGAGAAGAGTCAAGCTTGTGATAATTTGGAGATGGAACAGGATTCTGGGAGAGAGGAGATTCCAAGTAAGGTACTGGGAAATCTTAAATGTTCATGAAACAGGGAATTGGAGGGAGGCTGGAAAGGGGTTCTTTGCAAATTGAGCTGCCAGTTTTCATGTCTCATTCAAAACCTATGTGTTGGGAGTCCCACATCAGGCTTGCGTGGAGCCTGCTTCTCCCTCTGCCTATGTCTCTGTCTCTGTCTCTCTCTCACTCTCATGAATAAATCAATTAAAAATCTGAAAAAAAATGCCAAAAGAAAAATAAGCTGGCCTAGAATTCTGCATCCATCTAAAAACTATCATTCAAGACTGATTAGAAGTAAACATTTCAAACAACCTAGGATTATACCACTAATGGAACATTTACTGAAAGAATTTAGAAAAATATATTTTACAAAAGAAGAAAAATTAGCCCCAGATAAGAGAATAAGGAGCAAAATGGAAAGGTGAATAAAAAGATACATGGGTATATTTAAGTAAGCATAAACTGTTAAATAACAATTATAATATTGTCTTAAGTGATAGGATGAGAGAGAATTAAAGTAATAGAGAAAATAATGTATAAGATGGGGAGGGGTGATGAGAATAGTGTTTTTTTTTAATGGGTGTAAATTTACAATAAAAATTTAAAATATATACTGCTTGGGGAAAAAGTTGTTGAACAGATTATCTATACAGTCTCCATACCATTACAAATTATATGCATTTAATTAAAATTCTTGATAATATTCTGATAGTTTTAGTTGGTCTATGCTATAATTCCTATATTACAAAAATAATAATGTCTACATTATAAATATATATATAAATTATACATTAAAAAAAAATCTTATTGGAAAAAATAACCAAGATAATTTGGAGAATAAAGTTGAAGAACGTGTTACAGGAAGTGGTTCTACCAAGAATGAGTTATTTTAAAACTATAATGATTAAGAAAATGTGGTGTTAGTGCAGAATAGACAGACCATTGGAAGACAATATAGAATCCAGAAATGAAATCACACTTTCATGGAAAGGATGGATTTGTTCATCAGATGGTATTGGGTTATTGGTTGATATAGAAAAGCAGCCAATCCTTCTTGAATGCAACTAAATAAATTCCTCAGTGAATAAATTCCCAAGTGTGGCAAACAAAACAGATTTATATCTTAGAAAGGAAAAGAAAAGGTAGGGTCTCGGTGTCTGGAAAAATTACTAAAGAGATAAAGCCCACCCTACCACAGAGTAAAAGATGAAGTACAGTGAAATAAAAACATCAAAATCAAAAGACATCATAAGTAAGGTGGAGATACAAACCACAAGTTGAGAAAACATGTTTCTAACATAAAATTAATAAAAGATTTGTATCCAGAATATACTGAGAACTTCTACAAAGGAGAAAAGTAACAAATGATATGGTTGAGCATCTCACAGAAGAAGAATCTCAAGTCTGCAAAGAAAACAAAAGTTTTTTCTTACTATTGCCTCTAAAAATATAAATTAAACAACAGGATATGAGTTTATACCCATTAAATGGATAAAAATTAATATCTGATTATACCAATTGCTGGTGACCCTGTACAGCAATGGCAACCTTCATACAATGCTATTAAGAGAGTGTACATTGGTACAGTCCCCTTGAAAAGCAGTTTGTTGATACCTGTGAAAATTGAAGTTGCCTGTTATTTTTTACGATTCAGTTATTCTAGACATGTATCCTAAATAGATGTTAGTATTTTTTGTGCCTGTTTTGAAGGCTAGAACTAGTGTTTTTAAGTCTATATGTAAAATACATAGGATTATAATGAAAACTAAAATAGTTCTAAAAATTTTCAGATTTGTGATATAGTATGCATTGTTAGTACATACTAATCAGATCAATTGAAAGATGTAATAACTCTGAATTTCAAAGTAATGATTAATGTAAACGATACTTTGAGACAATCTATAACCACTTCTATGTATTGTCAAAATATCTAGGGTTGTTGGTGACAAAAACCACAAGGATTACTGAATGCTCTCAGGTATATATATTCATAAGTGATGTATGGGCTCATTTCTAGACTTCTAATGCTATTCCTTGGTATATATATCTATTCTTATGCCAATACCACACTGTTTTGATTATGATAGCTTTGTTATAATTTAAGAACCCGCATACTAGAGATACATTTAAATGTATATCCAAAGAGATTAAATATTGTAACACCACTGCAATATTGTAGTAGCAAAAAATGGGGATCAGCCTAAAGATTAGTTAATAGATGATTTAAATTGTGATATATTTAGGTATCAGCTAATAACTGTAACAGTGATAATGAACAAAGCCAAATTACAGTAATATGGTAGATATCTTGTAGTGTCTCCTTGTATATCATCACAGGTGACTTCAAACAATATTGAGTGAAAAAAGCAAGCTTTCAAAGAAAACATACTCTAACATTTTATGAAATTTTTAACATTTTAACACAAAGTGTAAAAACCCATATGGGAGTGATATGTCCAAATTTAGTCTAGTAGTTATTCAAGGATAAGTAGTGATGGAAAGGACAATCTAGGGGGCTTTTAATTATATCTATGTTTTCTTTAACAGTATAACGGGCACATTATTGTATGCCTGGAATATGTTGTTAAAAATATGTATTGCATGATTTGACAGAATATTAATATGACAGAGATAGTTTCAATTTTAATATATAGAATAGTTTGTGTATATTGGATCTTGTGAAGGGAAGATCAGCAAATTAAGTGCTTTTCCCTAGTTCATCTCAGAGAGAAGTGAATTAACCTATGAAGTGACAGGTGCTTTAAACATGTGATGAAAGCATATCTAGTAGATTATTTAATATAGTAAGAAAGAAAATTCTAATCAAAGATGGAACTAGAACTTATATTTAGATCCTTTTGCCTCCAAAATCATATGCCTGTTCCATGTTGTTAAATTGCATATCTAGAAATAAATGACATATTTTAGAAGTGGTAAGTTAACTGCACCCACAAAATGAGACTGTATCTGAGGCACATATTAACAGTAAAGACACTGAAATAATCTCAAGCATGACATTATAATCCAGTTTTCTTAAATATGCTTTAGCCTGTCCCACACTCATGAATGAAAGGCTGAAGAAATTATTAGTAACATTAATGTTACAGTGTTCCTGTTTCCCTTTAAACATGTACAATTTAGTACACGTTTAGCATTTGATTTTATTTTTGTGGGTTTTTTTTCTATTTGAACTATTTTATTTTTATTTAAGTATAATTAGCATACAGTGCTATATTAGTTTCAGGTTTGCGTTATGATTCAGCAGTTCTATACATTTCTCCAGGCTCATCAAGATAAGTTACTCTTAACATTTAAATTTGACTGTGTAACTTGGTGTTCTGTTCTTTTAAACCACCTTCTGTTTGGGTTCTTGATTTTAGGATCGCAAATTAACAAAGTCTGAGAGGCAGAGATTTAAAGAAGAGGCTGAAATGTTAAAGGGCCTTCAGCATCCCAATATTGTTCGATTCTATGATTCCTGGGAGTCCACAGTAAAAGGAAAGAAGTGCATTGTTTTGGTGACTGAACTTATGACATCTGGAACACTTAAAACGTAAGTCTATCTATATTATAAAAGTTGACCAAGAAATATGAAAGAACTTGAGTCGTCTTACATCATTTTTTATCAGTTTTGGTTTTGTTACCCTGTGTACCAAGGAGGGAACAGCCCCCTTCAATTCTTGATAGCACATTTTCCTGCCCACAAAGTCCTCTGGTGTATAAAGTGATTTGATAATTATTTAGTGGTAATATTAAAATAAAAAGTTATTACAGAGTAAACCTGGTTATTTTAAATCCTGTTGATTCGCAGTTCTGAAATTGAATGGCTAAAGGATCACGAAATCATGACAAGGTAGCCCTCTAGTGGTTAAAACGCGGTTGAAGCTTAGTGAGAAGGTTTCCCCATTTATTTTATCACCTTGTATTGGACAGTATTTGCTGCAACTATTATATCAAATTCAAATTGTACTGTGACAATTTTTACTAGATAAATCCATTTGCCATAGTATCAGAAATTAAAGCCGAAATAGTTAGACTTATCATTTCTTTCAGGAAAACAGGTCAAATGTAGAAATTTCTTGTTCCTATTAAAACAATTCCTGACAAGGTATTTCCCCTTCCCCTAAAAAGAGATGAGATAGGTAGATAGAGATTGATTTATAAAAGATTTTATTTATATATTCATGAGAGAGGCAGAGACATAGGCAGAGAGGGAGGCAGGCTCCCTGCAGGGAGCCAGTGGTGGGACTCAGATCCCAGGACTTCAGGACCACATCCTGAGCAGAAGGTAGACTCTTAATCACTGAACCACCCAGGCGCCCCCTAGAAGAGCTTTAAAGAGTGGGAGTTTGCCTTTGGAATCCCAGGTCTCTCAGAGTATCTGTTTGTATTCAAAGAGGAAACTGGGGGAATCAGTTTCCCTCAAGTAACATGGGGGTTAGGGGAATTGACCCTCCATGTAGTTGAAATTCCGATTATAACTTTTGAATCCTGCAGACTGAATTACTGAGTAGCCTACTGTTGACTGGAAACCTTACTGATAACATACATACTCTATTAACACATATTTACATATTGTATGTATTATATACTGTATTCTTTTAATGAAGTAAGCTAGAAAAAATAAAATGATGAGAAAATACATTTATAATATTATACTTTTAAATCTGCATATAAGTAGACCCACACAGTTCAAACCTATGTTGTTCAAGGGTCAAATGTAGTATGAATTACATGGTTTATTTATTTTTTTATTGTGGAGGAATTTGATTTTTAAAAATTGTCTCTTTAGTATGTATTCATTCCTTACTACTTTCTTTAGTGACTACTACAGAGCTGATTCATCCCAGATCTTTGAAACATGGTTTTATATCCCCTGGATATAATCATTTGCATGTGCTCTTGGATGCTCAAGATTAACGCATTGAAAAACCAACATATTATTTCCCTCCTGCAAATTCTAGTTTCCCCACCCAGCTTCTCTATATTTATGGCAGCACCTTTATCCTGGTTATGCAAGCTGCTTGTTATTCATATGTCTGTTTCTTCTACTAGATTGTGCTCCCTAGCACTATGCCTGAAACTTAAGAAGTATTTAAATGAATTAAGGAAAATTGTGTGGTAGTAGTTATGTGAATATCTGTATGCCAGTTTGGATACGTTAGTGGACTGTCAGTAATCTGTCAGGCATGCCCTACAAGTTCCCTACAACAGTTTGTTTTAAAAAGTTTATTGAGAGACTTTGGGTAGTATAGTTGATATTGGTTAGAAAAGTTGGTTCAGGAAATGGAAATAAAGCTAGATTTTTTTTTTTTAATTGAGATGAAATTCACAGAACACAAAATTAACTTTTTTTTTTTTTTTAAGATTTATTTATGTATCCATGAGAGACCCAGAAGACAGAGAGAGACAGAGACATAGGCAGAGGGACAAACAGGCTTCTCACAGGGAGCCCGATGCAGGACTCGATTCCGGATCCCAGAATCGCGACCTGAGCCAAAGGCAGGCGCCCAACCGCTGAGCCACCCAGGCATCCCAAAATTAACATTTTTAAAGTGTATAATTCAGTGGCATTTTTGTACCTACACAATGTTGTATAATCACTACATCTACCAAGTTCCTAAACATTTTCATCACCTCAAAGGAACACTGTACTCATTATTTATTACCCATTTTTCTTCCCACGTAAAGTGTATTTACTCTTTAATTGCATGCCATCTAAGTTCTTGGCTTTTTTCTAAGCTTAAAGTTCTCTTTCTCCATCTTTGTTTCTGTTTCTGAGCCTCAGAGCTAGAGGAGCTAGACGATATAGTAGAAAGAGCACTTAGAACAGAGTAAGAGTAGTGAATTCTACTCCCAGCTCTGCTTCTGCCCAGCTCTGATTTGGGGCAAGTAGCTCCCCATGTCTAGGCCTCAGTTCTCCATGTGCAAAAATAAAGGATTGTACTGACTTTTAGGATTTATGGAGAGGAATTTTTTTTACTGTGATAAAAAAACATACACTGGGGCACCTGGGTGGTTCAGTCAGTTAAGCATCTGCCTTTGGCTCAGGTCATTATCTCAGGGTCCTGGAATCGAGCCCCACGATCCCCACGTCGGTCTCCCTCCTCAGCAGGGAGTCTGCTTCTGCCTCTCCCTCTGCCCCCTCCCCACCCCTGCTCGTGTTCTCTCTCGTTATCGCTCTTGCAAATAAATAAAATCTTAAAATATATATATAGCATAAAATTTACCATCTTAATCATTTTTAAATGTGCAGTTCAGTAATGTTAAGTACATTCACATTTCTGTGCAACCATTCTCCAGTACTCTTCAGTTCTACAAAACTGATACCTATTACACAACTCCCCATTTTCCCCTTATCCCAGGCTTTGCCAAATACTAACTGCTTTTTCTCTCTAGTTTTATCTGATCAAGGTATTTCATGTAAATGGAATCCTAAAATAATGAGGCCTTTTGTATTTGGCTTTCACTTAGCATAATTTTTCAAGGTTCATGATGTTGCACATACCAGTACTTTATTCCTTTTTGTGACTACATAATATTTTGTTTGTAGATATATCACAATTTGTTTATCCATTTATTTCTTGATAGACATTCGATCTATTTCCACCTTTTAGCTATCGTATAGTCCTGCTTTATAACTTGTGTATATAACTTGTGTATAAGTTTTGAGTATATATTTTCATTTCTTTTGGACGTATGCGTACAAGTAGAATAGCTAAGTCATGGTAATTCTGTTTAACTTTTTGAGGAACCACCAAGCATTTTCCACAGTGGCTGAACCATTTTACATTCCCACCAACAGTGTGTAAGAGTTTCAGTTTCTCCAAAATCTTGCCAACGCTTGTTTTTATTTTTATTTCATTTTATTTTTTATTTGCATTTTCCTAGTGACTAATGATGTTGAGCATCTTGTCATGTGCATGTTGACCATTTATCTATCTTTGAAGAAATGTCTGTTCCATCATGTTTTTGTACAAATGTCTGTTCAGGTCTTTTGCACATCTTAAATTTTTTAAATTCATTTTTGAGTTATAAGAAAGAGTTCTTTATATATTCTGTAAGCCTTTCTCAGATACATGATTTGCAAATACTGTCTCACATTCTATGGGCTGTCTTTTAACTTCCTTGATGCCCTGTGATGTGTAAAATTTTTAATGTTGATGAAGTTCAGTTTACTTGTTTTTTCTTGTTGCTTATACTTTTTTTGGTATTATATCTAAGAATTTTTTTTGCCAAAACCCAAGGTCATGCAGATTTGTCCCCAAATTTTCTTCTAAAACTTCTACAGGCTTGTCTCTTACATTTAGGTTGTTGTTTCATTTTGAGTAAACTTTTGTATAGCTGTGAGCTGTGGAACCCAACTTCATTCAGTTGTATGGGGATAGCCAGTTACTCAGCATCATTTGTTGAAGAGACTGTTCTTTCTGTATTGAATGGTCTTAGTATTCCTGTCAAAAATCATTTAAGGATAGATGTATGGGTTTATTTCTGGACTCTTGGTACTATGCTTTTGGTCTGCGTATCTGTCCCTAGCAGATATGTACCACACTGTTTTGATTTTGTAGCTTTTTGTAATATGTTTTCAAATTGGGTGTGAGTTCTCCAATATTGTCCTTCTTTTTCAATATTGTTTTGGTTATTTGAGACCCTTGTAATTCCATAAGAATTTGAGAATCAGTTTTCCATTTCTACATAAGGCTGATTGAATTTTGATTATATCTGTAGATAGAATAAAATATATTTATACATTGAATCTGTAAGTCACTTTAGGTAGTATTGCCATCTAACTAACTATATTAAGTTTTCTGATCCATGAACACAAGATGTTTTTAAATATTTTATTAAATTTTTCAACAGTGTTTTCTAGTTTCCAGCATATAAGTCTTTCACTTCCTTGGCTAAATTTATTACAGTGTATTTTATTCTTTTTGATGCTTTCGCAAAGTGGAATTGTTTTCTTAATTTCCTTTCCAGTTTGTTAATTGTTGGGGTATAGAACACAACTGATTTGTGTTTGTTGATCTTGCGCTCTTGAAACTGTGATGAATTCTTTTATTAACTCTAATTGCGAGAGTGTGTGTGTATTCTTTGGTATTTTCTATATATATGATCTTGACATCTACAAATAAAGTCTTACTTGCTTTCCAATTTGGATACTTTTATTTCTTTTTCTTAATTGTTCTGGCTAGAATTTCTAGTACAATGTTGAATAACAGTGGTTATTGTTGTCTTATTCCTAATACTAGTGAGAAAGCTTTTAGTGTTTCATTATTGAGTATGATGTAAGGTTTGGGTTTTTCATAATTGTTCTTTATCATATATTCTCTGTTATTTCTAGTTTGAGTATTTTTATCATGGAAAGGTATTGGAATTTGTCTAATGCTTTTTTCTACATCAACTGAGATGATTGTGGGTTTTTTTTTTTAAACTTTGTTCTATTAATATGTATTATGTTGACTGATTCTCTAAAGTTGAGGGATACTTCCATTTCATAGATAAATTGCACTTGGTGTATAATCTTTTTACTGTGCTGTTGGATTCAGTTAGCTA